TTTGGTCAAGGGCACATGTTTGGGTTTCAGGCTCAATCCCCAGTAGGGGGCATGCAGGAGGCAGCTAATCAATAATTCTCTCTCATCATTGATATTTCTATCTTTCTCTCCTCTCCCTTCCTCTCTGAAATCAATAGAAAAATATATTTTAAAAATACCTTATTTAGTGGAAAAAGCAGTAGTTTTGAAGCCATACTGTCCTTAATTTGCTTAATAATTGCATCATCTTGCATAAGTCATTATTAATGTTAAGCTTTACTTTCTATATCAATTAAATAGAAATAAAACCTATTTTGAACAGTTTTTGTGAAGATTAGAGTTGTTTTAATAAAGTGGCAATAATAGCTCTGTAGTATATAGTAATTATTATTATTATTAGAGTATTGCAGCTCATAAAACTAGACACCTCATTTTCACCTTTGCTTTCCTCTAATCACCTGCCACACTGCTCCCAGAGTGATCTATCTAAAATGCAAATCTGTTTGTATCATTCTTTTGTAATAAACTATTTAATGAAACCCTATAATTTTTGTGCCGACATAGCTTATAAGTACCCCTTCTTCAACCCAGGCCACTTCTCTGCACTTTATTCTGTGTTCCAGTAACACTGAACTTCTTTTAGTTTCTTTAATGTATTATTACCATCTCCTCTCTCATTCCCCTAGGCTTCATACCTTCTTCCCCTTCCTTCTTTTTTCCTTCTTGTTTCTCTCTCTCTCTCTCTCTCTCTCTCTCTCTCTCTCTCTCTCTCCCTCCCTTCCTCCCTTTTTATCTCCCTCCCTCCCCCCATTCTCTATGAAACATTTTCTTTCTATCTTTTACTCTAATTTAACTCTTCACTTCTTTTTAGTCTCGGTTTAGAAGTGAATTCCTCTGGAATTCATTGTGGCTATTCTCCATAGACTCACTTTATTCTACTTTACTGTAATGATTTATTTAATTGTTTTCCCCACTAAAATATAAGTGAGGGCAGATACCTCATTTAATTTTGCTCATCATTGTATTCCTAGTTTTATGATGAATTTTGTCTATTTATGAATACCTGCCTTTATGCATGCTATTTTCTCTGCCTAGAATACCCACCTTACCCTGTACCTACACTTTCTTAAAGATTCAGGATATAGGATAAGCATTGCCTTCTTTCTAGAACTTTCCTTGATGCCATAACATGATTTTGGATGTTCCTTGCACTGTAATTCTAACATATTTTGCAATTCTGTTTAAGGACTTTTATATTATTGTGCAGCTACCTGTGCACATATCTGCTTTAACCATTGAGCCATAAGCTCATTAAGAGCATGAGATGTATCTTGTTTATTTCTATAGATCAGCACTTATTCCAAAATCCACAAACATGATAAGCACTCATAAATGGGTTGAATGAATGATTTAAGTCAATGGGATAAAATCTAGTTAAATTTAATGAGTATTTGTCCCTCATACTCAAATAATCACTGGAACTGCAACATTCATATACCATAGGTATAAATAAAAATGTAATGAATATGTGTATCCATATCTTCATCAATAAATAAAATGTAATTAATAGAAATGCAGTTCCCTATATATTCATGTCTGATAAAATGAAAAATTCATAAACATGTGCATCACTTTGATCAGGGTTCTGTTCATCTTTTCTATATCATTTCAATTTTAGAATGTGTGTTGCTGAAGTATGCAGCAGGTAATGAGCTTTGGCCTGCATTTTTATGGTTGTCTTGAGGTCTCAAGATGAGACAAGACAAAGCTTCATTATCAACTGCCCTAGTTACACGGCCCTGCAATCCTTGGTAAGATTTTTCCAAGAAGCTATCATTCTCTAGTTTTCTCATGGAATCCAGATATAATTGCTGAGGATCAAAAATAATAACAGTAATCTGGTAGAGTAACAAACACTTTCTGAAAAAGTCTAAGTGTTCTTCAGACCTTATCCAATTTGTGCTTTTTAAGTGTCTTCAAGAAGGTAGCAGCTACATTGTTACCTGAATGAGAAAACAGGTAATGTGTATCTTACAAAGAATAAAAAAAGTCACCAGATGAATAAATTATGGTGTCACAAATAGAGCCATTTATTTTCAGTCTTGAAGTTAGATCTTCCTTTGGACCCATTGTCCTGGGTCCAAGGTGAAGCATATACTGTGTAAGGGAACCAATGGCTTCATCATGCTTTTAAACTTCTGTACTTCCTCTATGCTGTACTTGAGAATAAGCACAAGGGCATTCTGCATAGACTCGTATCTTCCTAAACTTGTCCAATTCAGATTAAAATTAAGGGCCCAATGGTCATCTTCTTTCCATTGATCCAACTCTATCTTCAGGTGGCTAATCCTTTGTTCAACTTCATCTTCTGCCCTTCTCAATAAGCATCCTCAGTCTTCTTTATAATCCCACGTCTCCATCCCCCCAGAACCCAGGGGTTTTCATATGCAGCCACACCTGAGGCTTTTGTGCAGGGAGGGAGGTGCCAACTTGTGGTGCCTAAGGAAACTGGGGTGGGAAGCGTTGTGGGGAGATTTAGCAAAACAGCAGCCAGGAGCATTTGGTTGTAGGCCCTCAAACCAAAAGGGGCATTTTTCCTGAAAGGAGCTAGCTGCTTCCAGTAGCTTCATGGTGGGAAAAGAAATAAGACCCACCCTACTTAATATAGCCTGCCCCACCTGCAGGATCCCTGCATGCCACACTCTGAATTTTGAGCTTTTCTGAAGAAACAAAGGCAGAGGCCAAGCTTATGGGTTTGAACAGTCTCAAGGAGCCCTCAGTGACTGGCCAAGGGCAGAGGGGATCAGCCCCAATATCCTGGGAATCAGACTGATATTTTCTCCCAGGAGAACTGATAAAAGCTCTATTTTTCCAGCTTATTATCTCTGTCCAGTCAAGGGCAGAGTAATATTTAGGGCCACTCATGGAAGAGTAGCTCTGGGACAGGAAAATACACCCACATATTCCCGGAAAGCTAAACAGCACCTCCCCCACCTAAAGCTTTTTCTGAAACAGACTGTTGAATGATTAAGATTGAAAGCTGGCTAGCAGGCAAAGGCAGGCAGAGGTGGAGCCCAGGGAACCAAGGGAAATTGATGACTCAACCCTGGACCCCATGATGCTAACAAACTTACATTAGAGGGCAGATTGGCCCCTCCTGCTTGCAGCCAAGGCCTGTGGAGACAGACGCAAACTGTGGATTGCTTGGAGCTTCAAGCAGGTTTCAGGAAGCCAAAGGATAGTTCATGACAGGAAGTAATTAGCACCTATGTACCTAACAGGAAGCCCAGAATTGGCAGACAGAAGAGTGGGATCCAAAAGGTGCCAGGGGTGGGGGATGGGGGCAGGCCAGAAGATATGAAAGGGGAAAAAAGAGGGACGTGTGTAATACTTTCAGCAATAAAGATTTAAAAAAAATAAAAGATATAAGGTTGGGCAAAAGTAGGTTTACAGTTGAGAGTACACAAAACATGGAGGTTAATCTTGTATTATTATCTACTAGAGGCCGGGTGCATGAATTTATGCATGGGGGGGGTCCCTTTGCCCGGCCAGCAATAGGGGCCAATCGGGGCCATGGAAAGGGGCTGTGGGAGGTTGGCTGGCTGGGAGAAGGGGCCATGGAAGGTTGGCTGGCTGTCCCAATCTGGGCCCATGGGGCCAGCCTACCAGGGAGAGGTACTGTGGGAGGTTGGCTAACTGGGGGAGGTTGGCTGGCTGCTGGAGGTTGGCTATGGTAGTTCACTGACCACCAGTGGGCAGCTCCTGTGTTGTACATCTGCCCTTTGGTGGTCAATGCACATCATAGCTACAGGTCATTCAGTCGTTCAGTCACTTAGGCTTTTATGTAGAGAGACTAGAGGCCTGCTGCATAAAATTTGTGCATGGGGGTGGTGTCCTTCAGCCTAACCTGCATCCTCTCCAATATGGGACCCCTCAGGGGATGTCTGCCTGCCTGCCTGCCAGCCTGATCACCCCCAACCACTCCCCTGATGGCCTGATCACCCACAACTGCCCTCCCCTGCCTTGACCCGCTTCTTCCACCAGAACCCGCTTCCTCTGTGCGAGGTGGTAAAGACACCAGGACTGGCCTCGTCCAAGCCACGCAGAGCCGTGGGACCTCCAGGCCTCACCGTGCAGAGAGCCCACCAGTCCCCACCTCCGGTGTGTGCAGGCCATCATCTGACAGCCATCTTGTGATGACTTTGCACGCAAGGGCCACCTAGGCTTTTATTAGTATAGATTATTGTGTTATTTTTCCATACAAACAACTGTAAAGCTTCTTTTGCCTAATCCTATATATCATACTTTTCTACTTTCAAAGCATAACAACATCACAATCCCCCAAAGCACAAAAATCATCACAATTTTATATTTCTGATGACTCATTATATATTTCTTAAAACAGTGGTCACCAACTAGTGGTCTGTGAGGTCTGAAAGGTTAGCAACTGCTGGCTTAGAAGATATAGTTTTAAGTTCTTTGGAAACTTTACTCAGCATTCTAATACCATGTGGTATTAAACATATGCTGCTGCAATTTTGCATATATATATATATATATATATATATATATATATATATATATAGTATTGTATGTTTCAGAAAATATCCATCATTATCTCATGCAATTCTCATAATTCTGCATCATAGTACTTGGTTGTTACAGTTAAAGTTAGCCTATTCTGACTGTCACAATCTTCATGCCTATGTATATGGCTGTGAATCTGTGTATTTAAGTGTTTTTGAAAATGTATATGCATGTGTATTAGTGCACATGTGTCTTGGAGTATGCAGCATTTATACATCATGAACATATATCTCTGTGTTTTTTAGAATGTTCAGATGGCCAACTCTCAATTTATATGAATATGTATATCTGCAAATGTGTTAAGAATACACACCTATGTGTACATTTATAATCTGTAAACTTGAAATAATTTTCAATGGATAGCCTAAGACATGCTGCTTTAAACCCTAGTACTACCCCCAAGTATACTTTAGAAAGGGATATCACTTTCTGACCTCATTGTGTAGAGGAGGGTTCCATTGTCTATCAGTCTGAGCAACTTGTTAGGTGTGGTCATGTTATGGGCCACCGATTTCTTCCCATTGTGAAAGAAGGTGTCAGGGGTCCAGATTTTACTAGCCAGAAGATTGTTCAGTGGAAGGACCTTCATTGGTCCATCAAATTTCAGTCTTTCATCATGCCATGTCTGTCGAAAAAATACATCTATGGTGTACTCCTAGGGAAAAAAAGAAAGAACAATGTTTGAGTAGCATTCTAGTAAGGACACACAATGTCTTTAGCAAATACTAATTACTTTGCAATATTTCCTCTGATGCAGAGACGTAGCAGCCTATTAACACTAAATATGGGTGAGTACAACAAATAATTGATTAAAAAATAATGCCATGGAGATTAGTAAGTACAGAGAGAATATATCTGACAAGATTTTGCTTAGGAAAGTCACTGCCAACATTGCCCTGCCCATCATAAAATCTAACCATACCAATCTGGGTGACTCAGTGGTTAGAGAGTCACCCTGCTGACTGAAGGGTCTGGGTTCAATTCCAATCAAAGGCACATACCCTCCTCCAGCCAGTCCTTCACCACGCTACTATATGTTCATGGGCTATGCAGATATCACCACAAATACAAAACTTTAAATTTTAGAACGTATTTCATAAAAGCCTCAAATAAAAATGTTTGATGAATTATTATCTTAATATAGTTAATAAGAAACTCTTACAGGTAAGTTAAAAAGGAACACACAAATAGAGAATGGGTAAATGACATCATTAACAGAAAATTCATAAAATGGATAATAATGGTTAATAAACATGAAAATTTTCAAAATTGCTATTAATATAAACACAAATTAAAATAAATGTTCTATGTTTTGGTAACAGCAGACTAAATCATTTGGATAAATCCTCTTATAGCTATTAATTATAAAATTTGAATAAATAAACAGAAAGATAGACTATTTTAAAGCAATAGAAAGTGACTAAAAGCAGGCAAATACTTGAGAAAAGTTTACCATTGGAAGATGGCAATACCAATGGATTAAATTACCATATTTTCCAGCGTATAAGACGACCCCCTAATTTTACAGTTAAAACATAGGTTTAGGCCTATATTCACTGTATAAGACTACCCCCCACTTCAGACGAGATCGGGCGCGTTCAGGGTGGTATGGCTGTAGACAACTACCCCCCACTTCAAAGAAAAGACTTACTTTGCCATCAAGATCTGCAGGTGATTTCTGTGCAATTTTTGGTCTTTTGCCCCCAATTTTTGGTTGACTTTTTTTCGTTTCAAAGGTCGTCTTATATGCCGGAAAATACGGTACATTTGTGACTTTTTTTTTCTTAAAAGTTTTCCCCCAAACCTCGAATTCACATGGTACAAAAACACAGCCTTACTGGCTCAAAGTGGCAAATAATCTGAAAATTTAGGGGTGAGAGTCCTAGAAGAAAGAGAGCCACAGTAGGAATGGTACCCTAAATCTGAGTATACTAGTATACTCTGCCTCAAATCCTAGCTAACCACTATATTATACAAATATGAGGAAGACCTCATGTTTAAAAAATGCAGACAGAAACAATAGTGGAGTCTTCCACAAAATTACAAATAACAGAATTGTTCTGGGTGATAATTGTAAGTTTGGCAGAAATCTTATTGGCTTAATATCTGTGAAGGAAAAGAGCCACATGCTAACCTGACAAGCTCAGGGCAGGCCTGTGTGGCAGTCTTGCAAACTCAGAGACCTAAAATAACCACAAAAGATGGTTTGAAATTTAAATATTTAAACTACAAACAGGTTATAGTGGGTAGTCATGTCCTAGGCTGATATTTTCCCAGACAAAGGTCAACTTTGATCTTTACTGAGCCCACTGGCCTTCTGGCCTATAAATAACATATCTATGAGAAGTCTGGGTAACTTGTAACTTCCCGTTTTCTGGAGCCCCTGGGGCACAACAAAATGTTGTGGGTGCCAGAACAGATGCCTCAAATTCTTTCATTATCATGTTAATTGTTCCTGCACCCACCTAAGTAAGAGTCCATCATTTTACTTTTTATCTAATCCCAGGGGTTTCCCACCGCTTTGCTTTCTTCCGCCTCCTTACTCCATCACCAATGAATTTCATGTAACCCTCCTGTGTCCCTTCTTTGATTGCAATATATAAATAGAAATGTAACCCGCCATTCTTCGGAGCATTATCTCAATTTTTTGAGGTTCTGCTTCCCGGCATATGTCAACTGTTTGGCTCAAATAAACTCACAAAAATTCTTTACAGATTTCAGTGGGGGGTTTTTTGTTTTGTTTTATTTTGTTTTCATTAACAATATCTCAGAGGATATAGCTCAAGGCTGGCCAAAGAGCTGAAAATTCAGGGAGAAACCCTGGAAGCAAGATAACCTCTGAGAAGGTATGTCCCAAAATCTGAGTACAAATTCTGCCTAAATCCTTAGCTAACCACTAAAATACATAAGGCATGGAGGATACCTTTAGATAGTCAGGCAAAACAAGAAGCTGCTTAAAATTCTTTGACTTAAAATCCATTAATGGCCTCCAATCATACCTGGAACAAATTCTAATATCCTTTCCTTACCTAGAAAGCACTTAATAAACTAGCCCTTACCTTCCTCTCTGAGCTCTTTTTTAAATTTTATTTTTTATTGTTGACAGTATTGTAGATATCCTCTACTTAGTCACTTCTCCCCTCCAGCCAGTTCTTCACCCCTCTACTATCTATGTCCATGGGCTATGCAGATATGCATACAAGTTCTTTGGTTAATCTCTTCCTATTTCCCAACCCTCTTCCCCTCTGACAGCTGTCAGTGTGTTCCATGTATCCATGCTTCTGTTACTATTTTTTTTTGTCAGTTTATTTTGTTCATTAGATTCCACTTATAAGTGAGATCATGTGTGGTATTTGTCTTTCTCTGGCTTATTTCACTTACCTATAATAAAAACATAATATGCTAATTAGACCAGACAGCTGAACGACCTTCCCAACATCCTTCCAGCTGACCTTCTGGACCAAGCTGGGCTGTGGGCTGAAGCAAGCCTCTATGGCTGCGAGGGCCAAGGCAAGCCACTGCAACTGTGAGGGGCGAACCCCTTGCACAAATTTCATACATTGGGCCTCTAGTTTCACTATAATGGTCTCTAGGTCCATCAATGCTGTTGCAAAGGGTAAGAAAATTCTCTATTTTACAACAGCATGGTATTCCATGGTGTAAATGTATCACACAGCTTTTTTGTTTACTCATCTGCTAATGGGCACTTGGGCTGTTTTCAGATCTTAGCTAATGTAAATAATGTTGTTGTGAACATAGGGGTGCATATATTTTTCTGATTGCTTTTTCAGGATTCTTAAGATATATTCCCAGAATTGGAAGGCTGGGTCAAATGGGAGTTCCATTTTTAATTTTTTGAGGAAATTCCATACTGTTTTCTAAAGTAGCAGTGCCAGTCTGCATTCCCAGCAGCAGTGCATGAGGGCTCCTTTTTCTCCACATTCTCACCAGCAATTGTTTGTTGATTTATAGATGATAGTCATTCTGAGGTGTGAGGTGAAACTTCATTGTCATTTTAATTTGCATCTCTCTGAAAATTAGTTACATTGAGCATGCTTTCATGTACCTGTTGGCTACCTGTATGTCCTCATTGGAAAAGTGTCTATTCAAGTTCTTTGCCTGTTTTTAAATTGGATTGTTTGTCTTCCTTTTTTGAGTTGTATGATTTCTTTATATATTTTGGAAATTAACCCCTTATCAGATATATCATTGGTGAATATGTTCTCTCATACTGTAGATTCCCTTTTCATTTGGTGATAGTTTATTTTGCTGTGCAGAAGCTTTTTAGTTTGATGTACTCCCATTTGTTTACTTTTTCCTTTGTTTCTTTGTCCTAGGAGATATGTCATTGAAAATTCTGCTATGTGAAATGTCTGAGATTTTACTTAATTTTCTTTTTTAGTTAAACTTATTGGGGTGCTATCTATATATACATAAAAGCCTAAGCGGCTGATCAACAGACCAGCTGACTGGCTGACCAGCCAGTAGCTATGATGCGCATTGACCACCAGGGGAAAGACACTCTGCTTGGTAGCTATGACATGCATTGACCACCAGGGGGGAAGATGCTCAACACAGGAGCTGCTGAGCTGTGGTGACTTGGCAGCTGTGGTTCTCAGATGATGCACCAGGAAACAGATAGGAGGGAGCCTGATTCCAGCATGCATCATCCAAGAACTACCTTGTCACAATCCTGGACTCCTCAGGGAATGTTGGAGATGAGTTTTGGCCTAATCCTTGCAGGTCAGGCCAAGGGACCCCACTGGTGCATGACTCCATACACTGAGCTTCTAGTTGGTTAATAGGATTTTATAAGTTTCAAGTGTTCATTTCTATGATACGTGAACTGTATATTGCATTGTGTGCCCCCAACCAAAAGGAATACTACTTGCCCATAAGGAAAGATGAAATTTTGCCATTTGGGGCACTATGGGTGGACCTTGATTATATTATGCTAAGCAAAATAAGTCTGAGTTCAGTTTTAACCATTCTTCCCTCTTCAGATTACCCAATTTGGATTTTTTTCCCTCTAGAATAGCCAGCATATTCCTGCTTAAGGATTGGGGTATTATACTTTATTGTCTAAACTGGAACACTTTTGATAGTGATAGGAGGTTTTATCAACATTTATACCAGGGCAACAGGTATAAATCAGGACTGTGCCCGGTAAAATGTTAGAAATATACTCCTACATAAAACCAAGATCCTGAAGGACTCAACCTCAACAAAAAGGTTAATTACATAAAATGAACTATACAAAATCAGTCCACAAAATGAAAATTCAGAAAGGAAACTTGTCTATCCAAGCATGAATTCTGAATGAAGAGGGGTTTAGAAGTATTTCTACCAAAATTTAGCAACCTTAGGCCTAATCATATATGAGATTGATGTTAAATGTATACTATCTGCCTGATTTGGGGTTTTTAAGCAGAAACATTAACATTAAATTGGTTTAAAGATGGGGTACCTCTAGATTGACTTGCAAAAACTAATACAAAAACATTGTGGAGGGACATGATTACAAATAAATGCTTGCTGAATATCAGCTCACAATCCACAATAACAAATGCCTAAGGAAATGGTCATGAGCGAGAATCAGCTGATATAACATATAACTGAACCCTCTCCAATAACTTAATATAACAGAATAATCAA